GTATTTATTATTTTTTTTATAAGTTAACTTTTTTTTTTTTTACAATAACTTTTTATTACTTTTTTTTTTTTTGACAAAAAAAAGAATGTGACAAGAAAAATAATTGATAAGAACCTTTCATTTTTTTTTCTAAGAAAATTTTTATTTTATTGATAAGAAAAAAATTTGACAAAATACGAAATTGATAAAAAAACCTTTCAATTTTTTTTATAATAAAAAAATTTGACAAAAAGCGAAATTGATTAAAAAAACCTTTCACTTTTTTTTATAAGAAAAAAAGTTGACCTCAAAAAAATAAAATTGACAAGAAAAATATTTATACGAAAAAAATTTGGCCCCAAAAAAATAAAATTGACACGAAAAATAGTTGATAAAAGAACCCCCTTTCGTCCCAAGGAGAATGGAACCCACGCCCTCCGCCACATGCAAAAAGAAAGTTATAGCCAGTAAACCACATGCTACTTAGTAATATTAAAAGCGCAAACAAAATATATAATATATTAATGTTTCAAGTTAATACCTTCACATTATCCTACATCGAAGAGGTAGAAGGAAGTTGTAGTGAATAAATACCTCTTTGTAGTTATCGAGGAAAATGCGTGCGAAGTGAGGAGAGTCACGTGACGAGGTGTGTGGACCTTAAGGTACACGTACTTTTTAAAATTTACAAAAAAATTTACAAAAATGCCTATTGAAGAAAATTTACAAAACTGCCTATTGAAGAATCGGCGAGGCATGACATCATGAATCGAAAAATCGGGAAAATCATGACATCACATGGCGATTTACGGTATGGAATCGCCGGTTCTTCTCTAAAACGATTTTCGGTATTTCACTGGAACCGGATCGGGTCTGCTAGTTCTCGAGTCGAATCGGACAAGTCTGGTTCGACTCCGTCGACTTTTGAAAAATTGGTTGAAAGGAATACCTTTATATAAGGTTGCAACCTGATATTATAGAAATAAGGTGCTGCAGAAGAACCGGGCGATTTTCGGTATTTTACTGGAACCGGATCGGATCTGCCGGTTCCCGAATCAAATCGGACAAATCCGGTTCGACTCCGCCGACTTTTGAATCACCGGCTGAAAGGAATACCTTTATATAAGGTTGCAACCTGATATTATAGAAATAAGGTGCTGCAAAATCCAGTAGCAGATAGTGGTTCGAAGTTGGAAAACTTCCAATTGATCATCTCTGCCTCGAGATGCATAGATATTAAAAGAAAAAAGGAATTATCTTAAAAATAATGCATCTTGTAACAAGTTAATAAACCTTCTATTTTCAAGATTTTTTAAGTATTTAGAGATATATTCGATCAGCACTGTTTTTTAAATCTCAAATTTCATATTAGGGTTAAACATTCACTTTCAAGCCATCGTAAGGTTTCTAAAGGTGATAGTACAATGTGAGCACCTTATACAAACCTCATTCTTGACGAAATTTTTGTCTATTTTGTGACAAAGGATTAATTTCTAGTATTTCTAATTTACAGCTGTGGATTTCATGTTGATTAACTATGAAAGTTTCACTAGTTTTCAAGTTCTCAACATTTAACCAGATTTGGATATTTCACAGTCTTTTCATAACCATTACGCCATACTAAATCAGAGCACCAGAACATAGATCATCATCACTTAACCCAAAACAAGATGAACTCCATGATAAAGAGAAGAGAGAAACCATGAATTTCTTCTTATGAATCCCGATCCTTTAAAAGGAGAAGAAATGACATTCATGAATTAAAAGGAGAGAAATAACATCCATCACTTAAAAGACGAGAGAGAATCCACGGATTTCTGAAGAGAATCCCGATCCTTCAAAGGAGAGAAATGGCATCCATGACTTAAAAGAGGAGGGAGAAACCACGAATTTCTTCAGATGAATGCCGATGCTTTAAAAGGAGAGAAATGACAGAAATAAAAAAGATGAACAGTTAGCACAAAGAAGAGAGAAGTAAGGAATACCTGGAAACAGTTGAGAGATGCTGGCGAACGTCGAAGTCCTGAGCGATGGAAGAGTGAAGGAGAGCAGCAATCGCAAGAATGAAGAGAAGTGTCATGCTCGAGGCCTCTCTCTCTCTCCTTGTTGATGCATAAGAATGTTAGAGACAGAGTGTGTGCGTTTTGTTAAAGCAGAAGACCGATCGCATTCTTTCCCTCTTTTTTCGATTCGAAAGGCACAAAGAGGAGCTCCAGAATCCGATTTCTTCGTCGCGAAATTCCAATCAGGATTTCGTTTTGGTCTGATTCCAGAGAAATCATGTAAGGTGTCGACCTTTTATTTGCCATTTACTAAAGTCCGGTGGAATTTTTTGGGTGAAGTTTGTATAGAGCCGAAGCTCTAAACAATCAAATTAAAAGGCACTTTCATACGGTGTCAATAAATGTGGTTTCAATGTTGAAAATCTTTGTGATAGCTTTAAAATACACTGTTATCTTTAATTATAAAACTTAAAACTTCAAAAAATAGTGTAGATTTATGAAAACTTGAAAATCTTGAAAATTGACCATCCAAAAATGTGTTACAAAATATACTATTTTTAAAACTTGGAATCCATTTTTTTCTCGTAAAAATCCATACATCTCGATGTCAAAATGATCAATTTGAGGATATTTAGACATAAAAGCAACCTCTTCTAGTAAAATTTTTGAGGTGGGCTCTAATATGATTGTTTACATCCTCAGCTCTATTTAAACTTTTTAAGGACAGAGCATCTCATAAATTTTCCCTAGTGCTAAGCCAAGCAAAATAGAAGCTTACCTCTTGCAAATTATAGGATACCCTTAAATAAAAGGAATCGTGCACCCCCTTTATATTTGTGTTTCCATGGATCATGACCTATGCTGTATCGCTTCTCATTTCTTTCTCTCAAAGAAAGTATTGAATGTTAAGGCATGTTTTACTCATTTGTTGAGAATGGCTTAGGGCATTGGATGTAGTATTGCCTAGTCCTATGGTGAGGTATTTGATTCTATTCTCACCAAAGGATAGCAATCCAAATCTCTACTGACTTACCACTTTACTCACCCAAAAAAATATTACTCATTTGAAAAAATTAGGGCTTGATAATAAAGTTTAGAAAGCATACATATTGGTTGAGGTGTTTTAAAGCCTAGATCATTTGGGTGTGGATTAGCCATCCACTATGATGTTCAAGATTGATGATCCGCATCGGTTGAGCTGGTAAGAGGCCAAGACATAATAATAATGATAACGATAATGATAATGATGATGATGATGATGATGATGATGATAATAATAATAATAATACTACAATTACAAAGGGGTTCCAATTTGTCCACCCACCAAACCCGATCTTGATAAGTGATTCCAAATAGTGATCTATGTTTTTCAACTAAACTTAGTCATTCTTTTGATATTGTGATTTTGGTAATAAAGATACGAATTACATTTGCTTTCTTTTGGGTATTGGACTTGGTTGTAATTTTGGTAATGAGCTGCCGATTTTTGTACCCATCATTATACATGTAAAATTGTTATAGACTTGCATGTGAATGAGTGCATAAACATTGCATGCATGATATTTATATCTATGAATGTGCATAAACATAAAGAGACTATTTATTTTTAATACAAGGAAGTCACGACCAGTCTTGTATGTATAAGTATGTCATTGATTAAACTCAATGTTCAAACAAAATTGTTGAATTTCGTGACATACCCCAATCCATCCAATTTAATATCTAAAGGTTAGAAGTGATTTTGACCTCCTTGTAACAATGATAAATGGCCTTATAGTATCTTATAATTTATAATCACAATACACACACGTGTGTGTGTATGTGTGTGTGTGTGTATATATATATATATATATATATATATATATATATATATATATAATTATGTTGGAAAATGCAATTTTAACACCGAAAAATCCACAAATTGATCAGCTTGACCTTGACAACTATGATTTCAAAACAGAGAAATTATCACTTTTAGTATAAGAAGGTCATCATCATTGTCAGAACCTTTTCTCAACTAATTGGGGTTAGCTACATAAATCATCATTTGCCATCTTGTTTTATTAAAGGCCATAGTCTTAATAAGGCTATAATTCTACATACATTTCCATACTACTTCCAACCATGTCTTTTTGGGTCTATCCCTTGCCATTTTTTAGCTTTCAACTTGAATTAACTCGTACCTCCTAACCGATGTTTTATTGGGTCTGTATTGCACATGGCCAGCCGACCTAAGTCTAATTTTTCTTATATTATCGCATATTGGTATCATACTTAAATTCCCTCAATTGTATTAATTCCGAATTCTATCATTTCTTGTCTTACCACTCATTCATCTCAACAGCTTCATCTCAGCTATACTCATTCTATGGGTATGTCGTTTTTGGTATAAAAAGGTTGTAATTGTTATTAGTTATAAAGTGTGAAATGTTGGGTTTATGTGGCCTTTAAAGGCCTTATGAGTACTTGTAAAATGAAATGATATAGTAGAACATGAACTCAGTAAGAGTGTGGTCTCTCGTGGACCATACTAAGCAAACGATGGTTTGCTGATAACGATCTGTGCTTAACGATCTAGGCCAGACGGTTGGGAAAAATCCATGTTACCTGGGCATGACTTACAAACCGATGAGGATTTATGGGTTAGCCCTTGTTGAGGTTGGAGAACATGCCCGGATGAGTGAGCCGAGGACTGTGTGACCTTTGTGTGTGATGGTGGCCTACAAAGACATGGGCCAAAATCTCATCCATGTACCACCACACGGCATGCATATCGATAGATCGTTCGGGAAAGTAAAAAATCCACCTTTTAGGGTGAAGCGTATGTGTATGCGATAGATACCCTTATGCGCCATAGAGTTGTGGTCGTATAAGGTCTTGGTGACCTTGACTTTTCTCTAAGGGAGGATCTGTTGCAACCCCTTGGCTCATCCGTCAAACTTTGGTGACCCGCTGATGAGCTCCTGCTTGAACTGTGGGTCATAGAAAACATTGGGTCGGTTCGATAAGGCAAGTGTCTGTAGTCCACAATTGAAGGTGGAGTACCCCATGATTGCAAATTAAATTTCCTAACCATATGAATCCATTTCCCATCAAGTTAATTTAATTATATTTGTTTTATGATAGAAATTATTTTAGAATTTTTATTTGAATTTTTATGAGTCATTTGATATTTTTTTTTATTTTTTGGACTTATAAAAATGAAGATATTGATTTTACAAAATTATAAAATTCAACTAATATTTTAGAATGTTTTTTTTATAATTTAAAATAATATAAAATATCATGGAGGGGCCCGTAGTGCACATGGGCCTACCATGTGCCACACATGGGTAGCATGCCCCACCCATTGGATTCTTTATTAGAGTTTAAGTTATTTCATGTTTTGGTAATATTATGTTATGGCATGTGGTTAAATAAGATATGGAATATTTTGACCATATATTGACTAAATATTAAAAGTGTATATTGACTTGATATATCATTGGAATATTTTGTAAAAAGTTATTGAATACATAATATTTTAATTAGATTTAATTTTTCTAATTTCTATTTATGGTAACATGGTTAAGGAAAGGGGGACAATGGTCTATGCACATTCCATAATGTTGATGGCCCATCTATGGAATGGATGGCTCAGATCTCTCACCTCACAAGTCACCCTTGATCGACGGTCTATATTCAATCTCACAAGAAGAGGCAAGCCAAGGAAAACCCTAATCTTATTCAAGCCTATAAAAAAGGGATCGTGTCTACCCAAAATCTCTACACCTTATCTTTCTATCTCTCTCTTAACAAAGTTTCTCTCTCTCTTGTTTGATCTCTCTCTTCCACATAGTAAAAGAACCTAAGGGGTTTAGGTTACGGAGTTTTTCTCTCTCCTATCTCTCAAGTATAGATTTATGGCTAAGGGTTTTAAGGTTTAGCAAAAAGAGAATCCATCTCTCTCAAACTAGGTTGCTAAGAGAATGCATCTAGGGTTTGAGTTTGTGATCAAAGGGGATTATGTTTCATTGGTGTGGCTTGGTCGAAATTTGTTTTCCCGGTTCGAGATTGAAGCTAGACGGTTCATCCCTGGCCATGGGATGGTGGTAACTCGGTGTAGGGTGTAATAAGCCCGGTTGAGGTAATCTTCGGCACTCTTCCTTTTGTTTATTGCAATCTTCTCTTTTATTCTCAAGCATAGTGCATAGTTGTTCAATGACATCAAGTTGTTAAGATCTTGCTTTTATTGTTATGTTAATTTTATTTTGAAATTTATCTTATTATAATAAAGACTACATGTACGTGATCTTTTGCCAAAAAAAAGGGGTCAAGAAAAAAAAATATATATATATTCCTCGGTAAAAGATCACATAGGTCTTTCTTTCATGAAATGTGGTGGTTGGGGGTGTTCAAAATGAATTTATCGATCTTTGTAACTGAAAGAAGGACCCGTGTGATCTAGCCAGAGTATACAATAATTTTTTTCTTTCTTTTTTAATTATTTTCTTTTCTTCACGGTCTAGATCACTCACAAGTTGTCCTTTTACAATATAACAACTTCCAATGAAATAAAATAAAAGAATACAATATGTTCTCAATAACTTGAAGCCAGTCAAACCATACTTTTCATTAACATAAGAAAAGACACAACCTATGTTTGGAAATAAAAGATGTAATAAATATATATGAAAGAAACAAAAGATGGTGTCAGATATTACCTCAACCAAGCTTCTTACACCCCACATCAAGCACCACCTTTCAATGGCACAGGATCTAATGATCAACCTTCAATCTCAACTGAGAAAGCAAGTTTGAACAAGTCACACCAATGGAACATGAAGCTCTTTGATCACAAAACTCAAACCTAGGTGAATCCCCTTACTACCCTAGTTTGAGAGAGATGATTCTCTTTTCTACTACAACCCTATAATCTAAACCCCAATAGGAGATGAGAGATCATGAGAGAGGCACCATGAGAGAGATGATAACTTTCAATAAGCTAAACTCTTTAGGTTCTTTTACAATGTGGAAGAGAGAGATCTAAAAAATGAGAGAGTGGGGCTTGCCCCCTTTGGGCTTTTCAATATATATATATATATATATATATTGTAAGTGGCATGTACCCCCTTTTTATGTTAAGAGAGAGAGAGATAGAAAGATAAGGTGTAGAGATTTTGGATAGAGATAATCCATTTTTATAGTGCTTGATCAATATTATGATTTCTTAGGGTTTTCATTGATTTGCCACGCCTAAAAATCATCCAAGATATGAATGCTTGTTCCACGATAGCAATTTATCCACTTAACCTCATTTTTCTCCCTGTTCTTTTA